ACATTGATCATTATTTTACTGCTATTCTATGTGTTTTATTAGCCACATTATTGATCTAGAGCAGATCAATAGTTCTGATTTTCATTGACTGGATTACATGGCATTTCCGAACCCACCGGGAGTCAAAACTACAGTATGTTTAGTCGTCCAGAGAAATGGGTGGATTTAAGGAGTGTGCGAAAAACAGATTTATTACGAGTCCTCACACACAATATACACACATTTATCTCTTAAGAGGAGCGTCGAGCTGCTCTGTCCATTCCACACTTTTGAGCAGGACTTCGGGATATGGAAACGTCCTGTAACAGTGTGCATGGAGACTTGTGAAACCTCATGGACAACTAAACTCTGAAATAAAATGCTTAAGACATTACGCAACCCGTACATTAAAAAAATGACCCCTAATTTTGAAAATATATCAATAAATCCAAGTCCAACATAACACCGTAGCACAGGCCTATATTTCCCCTTAAGAATCCTTCAGAATGTCACAAGAATTTGGAGATTTTATGCATTCGTTCACACACCAGATGAAGTGAGGGACATTAAAGGTGCTAGCAACTGCACTGTTTTTCAAATTGAAGAGAGTATTCAATTCTGATCACATGACCCTGTTCTATCATCTACATTTTAGCACTTAGTATTCTTCATAGTTACTATAATTAAAACAGTGAAATAAGCATCGCTATAGTTAGATTTGCTGGAGGAGAATAGTTAGCGAGGGCCCTGAGCTTTCTATCAAGGAAATTATTTTTATATTTGAAATGACTGGCAGAAGAGGAACTGGTATTGTATGAATATTAAAGTCATATCAAATGAGGCTGTGTTCGTTTTAAGGTCACTGTGAGCTTTCTGAGTGTGTTGCAGTTTGTTACGGGTGTTTTAATGTTATATATATTCTGTCTTTCATATACTCTGTGAATGCAAATGTTGTTTATGTCAGGCCGTACGGGTAAAAAAAATAATCTGAACACTAAAGGAACTATTATGGCTGTGATATTTGAAACCATACCTGATTAGATGGGTAAAAAAAATGTCGTTTTGAAGCTTGGAATGCCAATACTGACGCTTTACAGAAACATACAGAAACACCCCCCCCCCCCCACCACACACACACACACACACAAGTGTCCTCTCTCCTCCATCCACTCAGAGCCTTTGTACTTCCTGCAGCAGAAAGTCCTTTTCAATTTACTCAATGCAAAGGCTAGAGTTCAAGTGATCTCCCAGCTTTGAGATCAGATAAAGTAAAGAACCGGCACATTGTCACACACACACACACACACACAGAGAGAGAGAGAGAGAGAAATACGCACAGACACACACACAACACACTGGAAGATAGACACCTATGAGCAAATCACTACCCACGCAATGGAAAAATAGATTGTAATTTGTCCTCTAATTTGTTTTTTTCAATCATGGAAGGGAACATTACTCCTGCTACTAAATCTGTAGCTCGGTTATGGACTTGTGAGCTTGTATTTCATGGACAAACACCAGTTGCATTTTTGACCGGCAGTTTTGTTATGAAAATATGTTTGTTCCCCAGAGTTAAACCATATTTGCAGTCCCAAAACAAGACTTTTCTGGATGTAATTTTAGGACTAAACCAGGCCTTAAAATGTTTTCCAGTTGAACTCAAAGGAGGGACATGGAATAAATTCAACAAAATTCTGCACTCCACAACTGCAGAGGCGTCTGTGACACCTGAAAGAGCTCACCACCAGCGCTACATGTACCACATTTTTGAGAAACACTGCTGGCTATTGCTGTGACTCCACGGTGGAAAGTAAAAAAAGAAAAGCCCTTTCATTTATTTGTTTCCTTTGGATGATTTAGTTCATTGGATTTAAGAGCGGTCACTGTATCTGCACTTACTCCTGGTCCATATTTAATACATTTACTTTTCTTTATGGTTATGTGCAACTTTGTACAACACAAAATGAGCAGATAAAACACGTCTATCTGAAATATTTACTCACACACGCTGAAAAGAAACTTTTTAAGGGACTTTCTTTTGATTTGAGATTCACATTTACTGTTTTTAGTGCGGATTTGAGTCATTTAGGGGTCATTTATAACTTACATCACTTACAAAGACTGATGCTTTTAGAAGTATGAAAACTACTTCCATAATTGCTAAAAATCATCTCAGCAGTTGTAAAGGTTTGTATGGAACACATTTAGACGCACTTAACATAATAGTTCTAGAGTTTTCCTGCTGCCTAGTGCCTTTACGTACGAGCCACTTCAACAAATGGTAGACATTTAGACAAAGTGAACAAAGCTCAAATCAGGAAGTATTTGGTTGATTATTTTGTGATGCAATAAGTAGATGGGGGGGGGGGGGGGGGGGGGGCGGGGGTCCAGAGACGAGTCATTAGGATCCTCGCACAAATTGGAAATAGCAAGTGCACGCTCCATTCGCCTGTATAACTGCACTTGTCTTTTGAGTCAATATTGGAAACTTGTGACACGGTAATGAAGCCTTTTGGAACAGATTTGCGAAATGTCAGCAAACTGCTTCTGAGTGTAATCCCAATTTGCCTTGGAATTAACGCTGACGAGCTCATTATTTAGACAATTTGTGCGTCTATCCCAAAAAACGCGTGTCTTTGGTCACGTGACGACTGGGAACCACACCAGGGTCGTGCGCAAAGAGAGAGGGGAGACGGGAGCGGGTGACAGCTCTGTGCTTTGACTTCAGACAGGACTTTCGCTTGAGGAGAATGACGTCAGCGCTGTTAAGAGACGTACCCATTTTACGTTTCAGGCTGCGTGGGTGGTCAGATGAGGTGACAAAGTTGGAAAAATGGACGTAAAGTCAGTCCAGGGTGGTGGTTTGTTTCACAGGGGTGATTTTGTGTGCGTGTGCTGCTCTTTTCCCCCCAAAAAGGTCGCGTTTCTACTTCAGAACCATATTACGCACCGAATATTACGCGGTGTTATAATAAACCCGGAGATCAGCGCGCGCACCTGTTCCCCAAATGTTGCACGTGCTGTTCTTTATTTTGATAACAGTCAGTCCTGCTTTAAAACATGTCAGAGAAGCTGAGGGCGAAATAATAAGATGTCTGCAACAGAAGGCGCGAGGGATTTGGAGGAAATGTCAGCTTTGGGCAGTGGGAATTTAAAACCACAGTAAGTTATAAAACAGAACCAAAAACTGTATAATATTTGCTGATTTGTTTTTTTTAGTCATTGTGGGGTTTTCTTGTTCTGAAAGCGCAACAGGCCCGTTTCATTAAAGTTATCTTCCAATAGAAAAAAGTGCCTATGTTTTATTGTTAAATACCTTAAAAAAATATTTCTAGGTTGTATGATGTAGGTTGTATCCTATCAAGTTTAATTAAAAAGTGAGTAAAAATGACTTACATTGCAGACATATTGGATTGATTTGTGATGTCATTATTTGCTAGATTTTTTATTATTATTCGAACACATGTTTGTATTATTATTTCTTCATTTGAATTCTTAATTTAGAAGGTGTTTCTTGAAAAATATAATACATACTCATTTAAATCGATCTATTGTTTTTTATACTGATTAAAATAATGAAAATCAAAGAAACAAACAAATCCGTCTTAAAAGAGAATCATGGATCAGTTTCCATTATGTAAATATCCTCATTTTATTGCACTTTCCAAACGTGTAGTCTTTTACGTACTGCAGGCCTGTTGCACATGTGGCGTGTAAGAAAATCCACCAACTCACACAGTTTTCATATAAAAGTGAGAGAAACTACTATTTAGCAAAGGCTTTGATTTCAAAGTTTTATTTGTAAACATTAAATATTCTTCTTTCTCTCTAAAGTCCTCGGTGGATCAGATCTGTATAGCATCAACTGAACGAACAAACAAAACCATCCTGGCTCTTTCAGGAGAAAATGTCGCGCCGGGTTTTTATAAATAAACGAATATAAAAAACTTTGAACTAACTCTATAGACGTGTAAGGAAGAAGACCGGGATAATAAAACATAGAAGAGACACAACGTGCTCGGCGTAATGGTCCATTTTTTGTTCCAATTTTTGCACCATGCGTAATAAGTGTAGCTCTTGGCAATATAAATCATAAATATATAGAAAGGTTTATATTTAACAGCAACAATACTTACAGCACATACAAATAAGGAATGTCTGACAGTTGTACAAACACCATGGGTCCCGCGGGTTTCTTTACACAGGGGGAAGGATCTGTCACGGTTACGCGCCATACAGAGAAAAAAAGAAAAAGAAAGAACGAAATAGACCACGAATCCGTATCAAATCTAGCAGACTACATAGTGTCCGGTATATGGTTGATATAGACATCAGCTCAGCAAGTGCCTATAAGAACAAAAGTTGGGGAATAAAAACAACATGCTTAGAGGAGCTGTCAGATACACAAGGCAGCAAGAAAGAAAAACAAAAAAAAGTCAGTAGTAACAAACTTTGTACATCTATTCGTCATATACAGCGTGGTGTGCGCAAATGGTAGCATATATTTATAAATGGCGTATATTACATCAAGGGTTGGGGGGGAGAGGATTGCGCAAATGTGTCTCCGTGCATGTGCGGGGTTTTTGGCGTCAGACCACGTGCGTAAAAGTAACTGGAGTTATAATAAGTGCTGTTGCCATGGCAGTGCGCAAAAAAAGCGTCACGTAATGAGTTCAATTTGTTCATACTTTGATTAAGACCGTTGCCATGAGCGCGTCCTCTCTCGTCTGCGCTGCGTGGAGGCATTCGTTATCGATAATGAAAGGTTAAAAAAAAAAATGAAAATATGTCGTGTTTGTACAAGATTTAAACACATTAGCAGCGTGATCTGATGCACAAAAACGCACACATACATGAGACATATTTGGGCACTAGAATAAAGTGTATAGGAGCTTTGCCAGTCAGACAATCCCAAGGCCTATAACACGAATCCATTTTATTCACAAACAATTCAGTCTCTCTGTGTGTTTTTGGAAGTCCGAGTTTTATTCTTTTCTCTTTTATGGGGGGGTGAAGACTCAGAATGGTAGCGTGTCGAGGAAAAGTTTGTCAATGATTGCCGGCGGCGGAACCAGGTCTTCTAGTTTTAGGTAAAAGATTCGCTGCAGACCTTGAGTACAGAGAGTGCGCAGCTCGGGCAGCTTCCCCAACAGTTTTGACAAGTAGTTGGGCCGGTTCAGTCCGCCGCCATTGAACGTCACTTGGTCTTTGAGGCAGTTCACGATTTTGTTCTGCAGCTCCTCCACTCGCTTTGGCTCCTTCAGCCCGTGCCGTTCTGAAAAGACAGGTGAGAATGTGAGAGAAAGCGAATGACGCATGGCTTTTTCGTGTGCGTAACGTCCATGATTGCCACAATTCCACACTGATATGCAAAAATAACTAATTCTTTGCAGACTTAACATGACTAAAGGGACACTATCTGCTTCTAGAACAACTATTTTTACTATAAACTTGTTGAACTTCGAGTAAGAACTTATTATATACTCTTTCATATATATATAAATACAGTGCATGTCCAATTTTACCCATTTCAGACATTGATTATAATGTCGGTTTTTTTAGCTGATAACCCAGTCTTAAACAAATCAAAACTCTCACGACCTGTCCAAAAGTAATGTATCAAATGCATTCTAACGCATCCATTTCCCCTCATTCCCTTTGATTATTACTCTGTATATCCCACTATTTTATCTCGGAAATATTCTCACTCTTTTTAGGTTCGCCTTATATCTGCGTGCCTAAAGTTCATATCCCTCACCTGTCACCATAGCGAGGGCTGCGATGCATGAGAAAGCAGAGATGTCCACGTTCATGCTTTGCAAATTGGAAGAAAACTCCACGATGGCGTCCACCCACTCCCCGAATCCACGCACGCACTGTAGCCTGTGCAGCACCACACCGTTGCAAAATATAAGCTTCCCTTCCACCGGGTTGGACCTGCGAATATAACATCATTATTATAACTTCTATAACTTCAATGCAATAGAAAAAGGGGGGAAAGGAGGATACGTGAGTGAATGGATTCGTACCTGTACGCAAGACGCAGCACAAACAGCTCCAGAAATGCGGATTCGAAAAGTAGGTCTTGGTCTTGCTTTGGGAGGTCGCAGAAGCCCGGGATCTTCTCTGCCCAGCCCCGGATAATCTCCATGGAGCCGGTGAGCAGGTCGTAAAACTGCTGAATGTGCTGCGTGTTGTCCCCACTCATTTGGAAGTCAGGGCTAGACTGGAACTGCGGAAATGCAATTAAAAAAAGAAGCGTTATTAAAATAAAAATGGAAAACGGAGCGTCTTTAAAATATATAAGGCGTGAAATGGAGGAGGGCAAGAATGGTGGAAGAAATGAGCGGGTGGGTGTGTTAATGAAAGATAGCGCGCGTTGTTTTTTTTTCTTTTTTCTTTATTTGGCAGCGGTCAGTCAAGCTTAAGAGAGTGACAGGGGATGTTCAGTGCCTTTGTGCCGTGATTGACAGGTGTAATGGCAGATCTATGTCAGCTCTGTTGGGTCATTGTCCGCAGCATATGTGTCTCAAAGCTTGCCATGACTCGGTGACAGCTACAGAAAGCATCATACAGTTTGAAGCATTTGAAGTGGGATTTTGAATTCTGGAGTTGTACAAAGTCATTAGGATCATGCGTAAAAACGGATTAATCTCGTGCGTAAAAGGACTGACAATTTTAGATTATTTTGCCTTCTCTGAAATCCTTGCGCAAAAAAGTCTTTCTGTTAAAAAACTGACATGTAGAATGAGTTTTTTGCGTATGTTTGAGCTCCCTCTTCTCTCACTTACTCTGGAATAGTCGAGCGCAGACATGGACGGGTTGGAGTCCACATGCGCCCGGACCAGCGCGCTGATGAGGCTGATCGGTGGTGACGGTGGGGACGGCTCCTGGGGACTTTTGGGTTTGGAAGGTAGTCTCCCTCTGCGACCTTTCAGATTATCTGTTCTGACCACTGCGAGACAAAGGAGGAAAACATGTCAGAAAGAGAAGAACGAGCAAAAAGCAGTGCGTAAAAAAAATTGTTTTATGTGCTGCAAAAACATATCCACATGAGTGGCTTTAATTCTAAAAATGTCCTGAGAAGTATAAACACAAATCAAACTTTTTCAGTTGCATAACAAAAATATTTGTCTCACTTTTCAAGTCAAATATATTCCGATCAACAACACATGAGTCATATGTATTGCAGTTAATGTGTTTCTGCGCACCTTCTCGAACCATCCCGACCACAAGGCACTTCTGGAAGCGACAGAACTGGCACCGGTTTCTCCGGCGTTTGTCCACAGGACAGTTTTTATTTGCTAAACACACGTATTTTGCATTTTTCTGCACGGTCCGCTGCGTAGAGAGGAGAGAGACAACGTCAGCATGGGAGGCCTTAATTCGAGATTAAGCAGCGTTTATTCGAGATTAAGCAATTTGACACTGATAGTCTTCATGTTATGACTCTTAAAAATAAGAAAATAAACAAATTGAACGAAATATTCAAAATATAGAGTTATTTTTTCCCTTTTAGTTGGGTTCTCTTGGTATATGCTGTTGTTTTCAGGCCTTCGTAACTGTCCATTGAAATCTTTTTCTCTTATTTAATGCCCTGAACCAAACTATACCACCTCCTGATCCGAGCATTCCCAACTCATTGTGCCCACCTTGAAGAAGCCCTTGCAGCCCTCACACGTCCGGACCCCATAGTGCTGACACGCCGCGTTGTCTCCACACACCGCGCACAGACCCTCATTGGACGGGGAGCCTCTGGACGGCGGGGAGGGCACCTGGCTGTCTACGAGCTGGTGCCCGTGTCCCAGCTGCAGCGAGTGCGGGAACGCCAGCCCGGCCTGCTTCCTCAGAGCACTGGGCACCGCGAAGCCCTGTGCGCCCCCGTGGCCCTCATGGCTCATGGACACGTGTAGGGGCCCGTCGAAGCGCATCTGACAGCTGGACACGGGCGTTCCAGGAGGGGACTGTTTGAAGGAGAACAGCGAGAGGCGAGAAACCGGGTTCTTCCGCTGCTCCATCATATGTGTGGCCACGTAGTTCTGGTGGAAGCTGTGCAAGGAGCCCGGGTCTTCCCACATGTGATTCGGCTGCACCTGCCACAACGCAAAAGCCACATTTAAAACACATAATCAACCCCATTATTATTCCACTGATTAGCAATGCATTCAATTTAAGCTTATTTATGTTTCTTCGTTTCTTTTTCTTGCATTTGCCCCTGCAGAATCTGGGAATAAAATCCTTTTTTTCATGCTTATCTACTCTTCTAAATGTCACGAGCAGCAGGCAGGGAATGACAAATAACACGTTCATTTCAGTGGCTGCTCCCTTTCACCGTTTGGCATTTAGAATCTCGGGTAAATGTCAGCGGTTCCCTGCACGGTTTTTTCACCGCAGCCGTATAAAGGCAGTAAAACAGAAAGCATGCAACCACCATATATAAGGGTTGAGAAGAATATATGAAAGATTCTGTGACTTGTCAGTGCAGTGCGAAATTTGAAAAAAAGGGAATGAGAGAGAAAACGTAATTATTTTTCACAAATCAATTATCTTTTAAACACACCATTGGAATAGGGGATGCTTTATGCTACATTTCTGGGACTAAAGCTCTATGTCTTCTGTCTTCCTGTTCAATACAAGGTGAATATGAAAGATTGGACTTATACACACAATCAAACAGTGAGATGGACTTAAACTTGACCCTTCTCCTCTTTCTGTTTGCGTGTTCTTACGCCTCACTAATATATTAACTGAATGAGATCATGAGAGAACTTGATAACTATAAGTTTAATTGCCTTCATTTCTTAACATTTGGCAACCTGCATGTTCACATTTTTTTTAGGAATTGTATTTATTAAAAAAAACACAGACACCCCACAAAGAATCCTTGCCTGGAAATTGGGCGTGCTGGGAGAGGAGGGCTTGAAGTACATAGGCCCCGTGTGTGCCATCATGTCTTCGGACGGCGCGCTGAGGTGGCCCTGCTGGTGGTACCCATGCATCCCGGGCACGTCCTCCACTTTGATGGCAGACTGCTCTCCTGCGTGGGGCACCTGGTACAGACAGGGCGGCTTGACGTCGTAGGCACCGCTGTTGTAGTTGTCCATGAACGTGCTGAAGCTGGGCAGGGACGTGGTGGCGGCGATCTCCGTGTTGGTCAAGTCCATGCTAAACTTCACGAACTCGGGCGTGAGGAAGTCGCAGCTGTACTCGCCCGCGCTGTGGTAGCTGTAGCTCTGGGATGCAGGACTGGCGCCTTGAGGTGATGATCCATACTGAGCCTGGACGCAGGGCATGGCTGCACGGCACAACGGCAAGACGCGCACCACGGCAGGTCTGTCTATATGCGCGCACCGCCGGGGGAAAGGGCAACAGTATAGCAGGTCCCAGCAAAGTTTCTGCCGTGTCTTTTTTATGTTTTGAGTTTCAGCTCGGCCTTGAGTCGTTTGGAGAGTGCAGTCCGGCCGTGACAAGTGGATGCGCTGAAGAGATGCGTGGGTGTCAGGAGTCGACAAAGCGGCTGTGTTCTGCAGCGCTCCTAATAAAACCACACACAAAACTATGTCAGATTATAGGAAAAAAAGAATGCATCTTTCTTCTGCGGACCATGGACCTTCTGTTGTAACCGTAACACACGCACACACAGCTGCGTAAAAAGACAAACACATCTCACGTTTTCTAAGTTGCACAAGCAGCATTTTGCATTTTACATATGAAACAGGCAAAACACATGCATTTTAAAGAGAGTCTTGGTTGTTTATCTTACAAGTGCACCTGCAGCCGAAGTTGGTGCACTTGACAGCGTTGGCATAAGTTAAGCCACTTTCATGCGCAATCATCAATAACGCACGGAACGCCGCCAAAAAATGATCAATATACCAAGCAAAGCACCTCATCATTACACACCACATGCATAAATGACTAAACATGGTTAACCTATGATCACAAGGAATACTTTAACATATAACGTGTAATGATAGAGAAAGTCTTCGTCTTACCTTTTCACATGACAAGGTTCAATCCATGCGTTCAGAAAAGAGGCTGCATTGATAAAACTGTCCAAATGTCCAGGTGTGCAGTGTGTGTAGTCACTGGGCCCGGGCAGCGCAGGGTCCGCGCTCTCTCACAGCAGTACGAGCAGTGTAAGCCAGAGTGGCCAATGTGGCTTTGTTTATGTGAGCGCTGGATACCCCAGCCCACGTGCTTCAGCGCACTACGTCATCGGCGTCGGCACGCGCACCGGCCAATCCGCAGCGGGGAGTACTTTCTCAAGCTCCACTGTCACTTTCACTTATTTATTTATTTTTTCAGGGAGTAGGGTGGCTTATGGTATATTATAGATATCTCTATTATGATAAATGTATAGATATTTAAGGACGGAATAGAAGTTAATTATAAACTCATGTTGTTGACAGAGGAGCATAGTCTGTCATAATGCACGCAGTTTGTTTCTTATTATATCATATCAACAATCTACGTATTATAACAAAATTACAACTTGGCAACATTTACAATGACAATAAGGCCAAACAACCAGTACACATTATATCTTTAGTGGGATTAACTAAATATGTAAATGTATATAAATGATTTCATATGCTTACATGTCAACACAATTAGTTTATATTGCCTAAAATAGAATCATATTTTACTTATTCAATAAGAAAATATATCAGTGTTAACTGTGTGGAACAAGACAGGATCTTTCTTTAATACAAGAAATTCACCCATTTCTGGTCATAAAAGTTTGTGTTTCAAGGCAATTTAACTCAATACATTGCCTTGAAACAATGTATTGAGTCAAATTGTGTTTACATTGTGTTTGCAGTGGGCCTACCAAAATAGATTGATGGATAGAGCATGGAGGGCTCAGTAAACATCAAGGTCCAAAGTTTCTTCTCACAATACTGGAACATTGATGACATTGATATGGTCCTTTTTCATATTGTAGCAATTTGATATTTCAGTTAAGTCTGTATCAGGGCATGGACAAAAAACATGCATGTGACTTTTTTTGAATGCAGTACCCCCATGGACTCTCTAGGGGGCTTCAGACCACACTTTGGGAACCTCTAAACAGGCCTCCATAGCCACTCCATTATATACAATATACACCCTATAGCCATTACATATCTTTCAACCCTTTCTCCAACTCATGCAGCTACACTTCCACATCACATTTATTGCCTTATTGTCCAAATGTGAGATTGAAGTTTTAATGAGTCCATACACCGCCTCTGAACACGGAGCATAGGTCAATATTATCACACCTTATCTGCTGACAGGATTTCTCGATTTCAATTGTGTTCCATATTTAGTGCAGGCAAGGTGGGGTGAGCCTATTCATACCGCATGTACTATGTGTTATGTGTGAGGCAAGAAAGGAGGGGTCATTAGTGGCTGTCGTAGGAGGGGGAGGGGGTAATATAAAGCGGCTGACGCAAAACGCTGCTCCAAGTTGACATGGAGTTCAAAATAATGGACCAGACCTCATTGTTTTGGGCCAGATCTTAGCTGCTAATCTGGGCCATGCACCTTGGAGGAGCTGGCCATAGAGTGCAGTGTGGAATGGGTGCATTTGAGGGGTGGGGGGTGGGGGGGGGATGATGCATATACCCAGGCTACAGTGAGTGTGGAGGAGGAGACTCATGCAAATGTGTGAAGGAATTATGCATCTGATCAAGGAGATGGGGCAGAGATGGATGAGATTTGTGTAACCATGCATGTACTCTCTTTACTATAGTATTTGTGTGTTTTTGTACGTACGGCAGCGATGGGGCTTAACTGTGTTGGGGGAATATTTAGTTTTGGGAAGCTTGTGAGTAGATATCTCATTTGGTTACTTTAGGGATTTTTTTATTGAGGCCATGTTTGGCATAACGGCAAAGGTATAAAAACAATGTATGGCCCTTTAAATATACACAACATTTTCTTGAGACTTTCAGGTGGTAGACTTCACTGGATAATGCACCTTTAACTTATATATTCAACATTATATCAAGACTGGAGATCTGTAGATATGTGATCCCAGTTTATGATCAAATGAGATTATAATATGCTTGATTCAGAATCCACAGACATTTAGTCAGACACATAGCTGTTCCCTGCCATGACATCACAAATAGCATATTCTACAGTGAGAAGCGTAAAATTATGTGCATGTGACGCAATCTAAATGTAAATACCCAGTGTAAATCATTGCACAACATTATTTTGTGAGTAATAACTTACGTCACTCTCTCTTAAGTAGCTACAGAGGGCTTCTAAGCAATAAATCACCTAGTCAAAAATTGAGATAAGCAAAAAAGGATCTATTGAATGTGTTTACTGGTAGATATTTTTGTTTACCTGATTGAAATATTATAATGTATTAAGCCTTAGAGTAACTACCACTTTAGGGCTTTTTACTCACCTGTGATGCATAATTTCCTTGACTTCCTCATTTGAATAAACACGTTGAAAGGTGTAGTGGTTCTTTTGGCACCCCTCTGCTACTTGGTTTGATTTGTTATGTTAGTATCACACATATTGTTCACTGTTGCCTTAAATAGCCCTAGAAAGCAACATGATATCAATAGAGCGGGTGAAGGTAATCATTCAACGTGATTTCCCATTGAAATGAACGAGCAGACCCAAAACGTGTCTGAGAAGGTACAAGTGACTTTTATACACTCAATACTTGTCTTGGCCTGACACTATGTAATTGGAGCAATAAATCTGCCATAATATTTCCAGACTTCCCCGATATACAAGTCAAAAAACATACTGCTCTCCATACACAGCTATTGAGTTTATCACAAGTCACCTCTAGAGGCCACTATTGTGCAGCAGTCATACATCACCCCTCCCCCTCTCTTAATTAACCTTTAATTAACCTTGGCCCATTAAGACTGTGCCGTGATGGCTCTAGAATTCATCCTCACGGTGCCTCCTGATTGGTCCATTCCCAAACTCCATTTCCAGAAAGGACGTCATATAGTCGCACAATTGAAGTCAGCATTTTTTTATTATTTTTTTGCCTTTAAGATATTTTCCCCTCTTTTCTTTCTCCATCGTCTCCAAATATGCCGGTCACATTGCACAGATTCCCATTTGGATTTGAGAAAGAAAACACAATTAGCAGCTTAATTACCCGTTTTACCGAGGGATAATTAACGCTCCATTTATGGGCACTATTAATCGGCAGTCATTCCAAAGTGAGCTCCTGATTGAAAATAAATAAAAGTTAGCACTCTGTAATGTTAGCCTGTTCCAAACATATATTTTCTTGACGGTTTTAGTGCAGACTTAAAGTAAATGTGTGTGAAGTAAAGCTGTTTTTTGTTTCACTTATCTTTCCATACTGCGATGTCAAATTAAAAAGAAATACATCTATAATGGTTTGTTATTTTCGTTTGCTCCCAGGTAAAGAGTGTGTATGGAACTGGTGTTTTGTTTACTGAGTTTGTATCATTGGAGTGAGGTTTAGAAATCCGGTTAGATTAATTTGTGATTTTATGAATTTTCAACAACAATATATTAACTAAGCAGTAGTTTATTCAGTTAAGTCTTAACCAACGGTGAAAACCACTTTTTTGCGGTCCTGCCATCTAGTAATTCTTTACCAAACCTCAACATTTTCAAACAGTGGAAAAACTATAACTGAGAATGTATTACCAAGTAGCAGGATATTTGCTGGTAAACTTAATTTCAAATGTAGATTTAAGGCACTAGATGCAGGGGTTCCCAAACTTTTTCAGACAGGGATTCCCAAAACACACACAAACCAGACTGGCGACCCCGACTGCAAAACAAATCAGCAAGTTACAATGATTTAAAGCATTACATTACGTTAACTGTAATGATGCTTTACCCTTTAATGCTAACTCCTTGATGAAAGAGAAGCACATTTTTATTTTTAAATATGTTTATTTAATTTTTAACCACAATTTTTGAATTATAGACCGAATGATTGAGATGCAATTTTATGGTACCTTTGATTTGATTCCCAGTTTAAGTCCTGCAACTCCTGTTTGGGAAGCACATGGTATTAAACTTGCCAACTGCTCTATGTATACACAACAGATCTGTGGTGGAACTTATGTTTTTTCTATTCTGTTCTGTAATAAAAGAACTCATCTTAAACATTTGTAAGATGTTTATTGCTGAATCACGCAACCTTTCAAATGGGTGACAATTCCATAGAGGCTTAAATACCATAAATATCTTACATACTGTACACGACACCAACACACACACAGACGGCAACGTTCATGTTCATTTATATACTAACTAAAATGAGCTCATATTATTAATC